TGACTATCAAGTTTCTAAATCCACTTAATTGTCTGTTTAAGTTTTTAAAAAATGTTACTTCACTATTCACCCCCACCCTCTTAAACTCTCCACCAGAAGATGTGTAAATTCACTGTGTTCTCTGACCCTGATCCTGTAATATGCCTCTAACCAATCTGTGTTTTCCAATAGAAATCTGAACTCTAACCCCTCTTATCTAATTTCCACTATATATAGTTAGTTGTTTTTTTGACACTGAATAATCTGTCTACCTACATCAAATTTTGGAATTATGTTCCTTATACCTTCTATCTATAACTCCAAGTAATTATGAAAAAAGTATGTTCAAAAACCTTTTTTGAAACTTATAATTTGATTTTGTTTAGGATGTGTGCAGTTGATGAGTATCCACAAAATAAAACGAGCTCGTATTATCCTGCAAACATGTTCGTTCTTTCTCTCTTCAAACTAATAAAGGGAACCGGTTGTATGAAACATGAAAAATCTGTTTGGACGGTAGACGGTTGGAGGCAATCGTAAGGAAGCTCTGCTTAGCCTAGGTTTTGTTACAGAAAAGCGTATCTGCCGCAGTCTTGAAGGAACTCCTCCTATCTTGGTCACCTACTATTGCAGTGTGGAGACGTTATATCACCACTGAGCTATTCGGGCTTGTAACACTAACCTCCTGTAGAATTAGTAATGGATACTTTGATTGAACCATCATCATCGAACAAAGCATGGAATGGCAATCAAACCTCTACCTCAACTTCCTTTATAGACTTTGAGAAGGCCTTCGACAGCGTTGACCGCGAAGTAATTTGGAAACTACTCGAGTACTACGGCGTACCCCAAATATTCATCAACCTTATTCAACAACTGTACGACAACGGCACATGTCAAGTGATCCACAATGGAAAACTCAACGAAGCGTTTGGAGTAAACACAAGAGTCAGACAAGGGTGCTTATTATCATCAATGATATTCCTAATTGTGGTGGACTGGATTATGCGTCATACAGTGAGTGGGAAACGAGAAGATAGGGATATCGTGGACCGACGTGAAGAAGACCTGGATTTCGCGCGTGGATGATTCATGTTTGATGGCACACAAAATCGAAGACTCACAAGCGAAAACCGACAAACTGGTCGAAGAAGCAGCCAGACAAGACAGGACTCCAGGTGAACATAGACAAGACGGAGGTTATGAAAATAACCAGCCAACAACAACAACAGCAGCAGCAACATCCAGCGCCAATCACCATCAACGGGAGGGATTTGAAAGAGGTTACTTCATTCACTTATTTAGGTAGCATTGTCTCAACTACAGGCACGTGGAACGGACGAGGATGTCAAATCGAGAATCGGGAAGGCGAGAAACACATTCATCAACCTGAAACCAATCTGGAAATCTTCGTCACTCAACTCAGGATCAACAACAAAGTGATTTGGATTTTCAATACAAACGTCAAATCAGTCAGTTCTTCTATACGGATGGATCAGAAACTTGGCAGCGGGTCACAAAGAATATTTCCAACAGCCTGTTGCACACCTTTATCAACAGCTGTCTTCGTTCTATACTGAATATCAGATGGCCGGAAAGAATCACCAACAAGAAGCTATGAGAACAAACAAAACAAAACAAGAACCAATCGCCCAACGAATATGCAGGAGAAAGTGGAGATGGATTGGACACTCACTGGCTGAGGAGGCCGCTGGGTGACATAGCGCGTCAGGCCATAGCTCGAGTGGAACCCGAAAGGGAAGCGGTGAGTGGGACGTCAGTGCAAGGGTGACATGGAGGAGATCGTGTGAAGAAGAGTTGAAACAGTATGGACTAACATGGATGCAGGTGAAAAGTACAGCAGAAGACAGAAGCAAGTGGAGACGTGCAGTTGAAGCCCTATATTCCACTAGGAACCCAAGGGAACAATAATAATAATAATACTTTGATTGAACCCCAGGTAGTAGTACGTAATGGTATGTTAGGTAGTCTTTGCTACTGGTACAGTCAAGATACTGCGTAGTATCCAGTCAAAGTAATCCGAATTCCACCTAGATAACTAATAACTAAGTAAGTAAGTAAGTAATCCCTTCCTTTACTTCGCTTACTTGTACACAGGCTTCTATTCTCTTATGCAAACTCAGATGTGTGTGTATGTATTATGCATGCAGGCGTCTGTCTGTCTGTCTATCTCTATTATACTTAAAAGTACAAATTATAAACAATTTCATTGTGTAATACTTATGTGTACGTGTGTGTGTGCTTGTGTGATGATGGACAGTGGTATTCCTTATCATAATTACTATTGTATAACACATATTTGTACTATAATCTTAATAGCAATAGAACTAATGCTGCCATGAGTATAAGTAGGTTGTTTGATTATATGACCTTTAAAGAATATTATTTATAATAATGATAATAATAATAGTATTAATAGTAGAATAGAATAGAATACATGCTAAATTGTGTCAATTTTTATACTAAATGCTTAAATTCTTTAATTTTATTGACTAAACGTATTTGTGTTAGCTTATTTTGTCGTCCGGTGCGTGTTTCAAGCTGAATATAAGGCGACTACACACAGCAGCAGCATGTCTCTATTTTACTCTGTCCTTTTACGAGTTGATCACGGATTGATATCAGTTAGAGAACCATTGAAAACCAGGAAGTACTGGACAGCTTCTGTTTCATCCTAGTTTGGGAATCATCGGCAGTACGCACCCATTGTCTTTTACAGTCATTTTTAGTTTTGATCATATGGAACTTCTTCCTGTCACCCGTCGGATACCCAATTCATCATTTCACTTTCGAATCTCATTCGAGAGACCTGTCTGTCTGTCTATCTGGTTTCAACATAGAACTTTGCACCGGTGTGCAGCACTTCGAGTCGCCACACTTCGCCCAGCATACAAAGTAAGAGAAGAAAGTAGAAGAAATGCAAAACAGAAACAGTAAACAGAGATACGAAGGTAAAAGAATAGTAATATGGAAGAACAAAATACATTTATTGGATATTATAAGTCCCAAGGAGTGGATGCATCTGCACCAGACATTGACAATGAGGATTTTCAGCCATATTGCCCACTGTCTCCAGCCTTCATTGGATCTTACCATCTCGAGTACCCTAACCAGCCAGTCAGGAAGTCTACACCTCCTTACGTGACTGGCTGGCTTAAACTGACTGTTGTGAATTTCATTGACTGATGAATCCATGTCTTGGTTTGACAACCACTGCCTCTTTTCCAACCTGATCCATCCTATGTCAGTCAGCTAACCATGTCAGTCGCTGTAACTTCACAGCCTCGTGTATTGGTTTTCCCTCTTTACCTAGCACTGGACGCCTGACCTCAACATTGCTCACCCTATTATGCCATTTCACACTGAAGATAGAACGCAGACACCTATGATCAAAGACAGTTAGCCATTCCATGTCTTCCACTCTCAATGACCATGTCTCACTCACAGCCATAAAGGAGGACGAAGCGGACTGCTGAGCAGTACACACGCCTTTTGGTTGACAGCCAGCCGGATATCACGTCTACGCCAAAGATGGCGTAAACTGGTATATGCGAAACAAGAGACCTGTCTAGCGTATGGATGCCATTTGAAATATCTCCCGGGTGTGTGTGCGTGTTTTTCCAATCTGTCTTCATTTTGTTTTCGTAGGTTTGTTGAGTAAAAGGTTGCTGGCTTGTTGTTCACTGTCTGTCAGAGTTCCTTGTTGCTTTTATTGTTCCTAGTGTTGGTGGTGGTCAGTCGTGTGATATTCAGTATCATCATCATTATCATCGCAATAATTGGGGGGGGGAGAATCTTCAGTAGCCATTGATTCATCAGATCTGTCTTTTCAATGTCTACCTGTATGCCTGTTTTTCGTAGCTTTTTCTGCCAACTTGATCTTTTGAAAATGTATTGTGGTGTGTATCAAAATCATTCGCAGCAATGTTAGCTGATATAGGGTCAGGCTGGAAAAGAGCTAGCGGCGGTCAAACCAAAACATGGCACCAGTCAATGAAATCTACAACAGTTGGTCCAAGCCACGTAGGAAGGTGTAGACTTCCCTGTTTGGGTCCTCGGGACGGTAAAACCAATGGTTGGAAACAATTGGTGATATGGCTGAAAATCCTCGTTGTCAATGGCTGGCGCAGATGCATCCATTCCTTGTGACTTATGATTTCCAATTAAACTATATTGTTCTCCGTTATTACTATTCCTTTGTCTCACACCTCTGTTTACTGTCTATACTATGCATTTCTCCTACTTTCTCCTCTTGCTTTGTGTGCTACAAGGAGGGAGTATGGCGACTTGAACTGCCGCGCATATGTGCAAAGTTCCATGTCGAAAACCGACCGACCGACCAACCAGGAGCTTCCGGTTACAAGGCAAGCTCGTATACCATTCAGCCACTGGGACCCGATTCAATGGCCAGCCCATGAATTCTAACTTCTACCAATTCGTGATTTAGCGCGACCCCAACCATTGTCGTTGGTGGGACATCCATCCACACACGTGATATCTAATTGGACCTCACTGGTCACGACTTCTCACTAGAACTCACTCCAGGAAACTCCATCCTGTAGCAAGTCACTAGCGAGCATCAGATTAATTTTCTATAGTTTGGTTTGTAAGGGTTAGATATGTTTTTACGAGTTGATCACGGATTGATATCAGTTAGAGAACCATTGAAAACCAGGGCGTACTGCCGATGATTCCCAAACTAGGTTGATGAAACAGCAGCTGTCCAGTACTTCCTGTGGCTGGTTTTCAATGGTTCTCTAACTGATATCAATCCGTGATCAACTCGTAAAAACATATGTAACCCTTACAAACCAAACTATAGAATATAATTGTTGAGCCAGAAGAGGAAATTATCGAAAGAGGGATATTCTTTGCTCAATTATATTGTGCATTATTTTATTGACGACCATTCACTTGTCTTATATTGTATTTGTAAATAGTTAATGGCCTATTTCTTTATCTTTTCCTTTTCTTTTTTTATATTATTCAACTCATTCCAGTGCATCTGGTGTTGTCTATAGTGGAATAGAATCAGCAACTGGTCGACGTGTTGCCATTAAACAAATGAATTTAAAGAAACAACCTAAAAAAGAGTTAATTGTCAATGAAATTTATGTTATGAAAGTTAAAAAACATCCAAATGTTGTTAATTACTTGGACAGTTATCTTGTCGGTGATGAACTGTGGGTAGTTATGGAATATTTAGACGGTGGATCATTAACTGAAGTTGTCACGGAAACACTAATGGATGAAGGACAAATTGCAGCTGTATGCAGAGAGGTGAGTTCTGTGTTTCGGTGTGTACGTGTGTGTGCATGTGGATGTTATTTATTATTATTGTTTCCTTTAATTCCTAGAGGAACATAGGGCTTCAGCAGCCGTGCGTCTCCATTGCGTTCGGTTCTCTGCTAGAGTCTTCACCTGGCTCCAAGTCTGCCCACACGTTTTCATCTCCTCTTCACATGACCTCCTCCTGCAAGTCACCCTCTTGCACTGACGACCAACTCGCCGCTTCCCTTTCGGCCGGGTTCCACTCGAGCAATGGCTTGTCTAGTGATGTCACTTGATGCATTGTTTCCTCAGAGTATGGCCATACATAGACGCACACTGCCACGTGTGTGCGTGTGTATGTCTTTTATTCGCAGTTCAGTTGTTAGGCTTTCATCACAAAGTAACATCAGTTGTTAGAGAGATCATTGAAAAACACCAGGGAGCCAGTCTGTCTCTGTCTGTCTGTTTTCGACATAGAACTTTGCACATATGTGCGGCAGTTCAAGTCGCCACACTCCCTCCTTGTAGCACACAAAGCAAGAAAAGAAATTAGAAGAAATGCATAATAGAGACAGTAAACAGAGGTGTGAGACAAAGGAATAGTAATAACTAAGAACAAAACAGTTTCATTGGAAATCATAAGTCACAAGGAGTGGATGCATCTGCGCTAGCCATTGAGAACGATTTTGAGCCATGTCACCAATTGTTTCCAACCATTGGATTTTACCGTCCCCAGGACCCCAACCAGGAAGTCTACATCTTCCTACGTGGCTTAGACTAACTGTTGTAGATTTCATTAACTGGTACCATGTTTTGGTTTGACCGCGGCTAGCTCTTTTCCAGCCTGACCCTATATCAGCTGGCATTGCCCGTTGTCGAGGAAGGCGATGACTAGGCATACGTAACACATGTCCTAACCATCTCAGTCGATGTAATTTCACAGCCTCGTCGATTGATTTCCCTCCTCCTCACCTAGCACTCGACTAATGGTGTAACCTCAATATTGCTCACCTTATTATACCACTTCACACACACGGGAGATAGAACGCAGACACCTATGATCGAAGACAGCTAATCTTTTCATGTCTTCCACTCTCAATGGCCAGGTCTCACAGCCATAAAGGAGGACGGAGCGGACTGCTGAGCAGTGGTTTCGTCCTGTTTTGGAGCTCTTCATAATGTTCACCCATGCTTCCGTCAGGGGTCGAACCCTGGAACTTCAGGTTACGACATCAAGCTTGCTGACCCTTGATCCTTGTCAACTCGTGGCATAGCGCTGCTCTCACCGATGCCTTCATTGAGTATCCACTTCCCCTTGACATGGTGGACCCCATGGGTCAAGACTTCCCACAGCAGCTTCAGATAAGCCCTCCAATAGACATCGGTGAACTGGCGCTTTTATTCACATTATTGCCAAATTTGATCGAGGATTGATGTGATTTGGTGAACCATTGGAGATCACCACTAGGGAGTACTGGTCAGCTGTTTCATTCTAGCCGATGAAAGTGGTTAGCGGTGGCGCAGGGAATAATCTTGTTGACTATGATATAGTCCTGACTCCTAGGTGAAGACGCTAACAATATGCAGAGTCTTCTGAACACCTTGAACAGCAATCTTCGAATGTTTGGCATGTGATTCTCTCCTGCTGTGAAATTTACGATGATGCTACATACCTGGACTACATTAACTACTAGCTTAAAGATAGGCAGGAGTGAAGTGGTAGAGCAGCATGTTGACCACTTCACTTATTTGGGGAGTTGCATCAGTCCCATCAGCGAGTTGATCGCTGACAAAATCTCAATACGCATATAAAAGGCTCATTTGAGATACACCAAATTACACCATCTCTGGTTTAGTAGACGTGATATCCGGCCAGCTTTCGACCAAAGGTCGTTTGTACTGCTAAGCAGTCAGTTCGCTTCGTCCTTCTTCATAGCTGTGAGTTAGACATGGTCATTGAAAGTGGAAGATATGATGAAAAGGCCACCTAGCTGTAATTGATCGTAGGTGTCTGCGTTCTATCTCCCGCATTAAGTGGTATAACAAGGTGAGCAATATTGAGGTAAGGCATCGGTTGAGTAGTAGGCAAAGAGGAGGGGAAATCAATCGACGAGGTTGTAGGCTGTGAAGTTACATCGATTGAGATGGTTAGGGGACATGTGTTACGCATACATGCCTAGTCATCGATCGCCTTCCTGGACAACGGGCAATGTTAGCTGACTGATACAGGATGAATGAGGTTGGAAAGGAGCTAGCGCGTGGTGGTCAAACTAGAACATGGCTTCATCAGTCAACGAAACTCGAACTGCACATCTGCACATCTGTGCAGAGCAGTTCTACGTTGAAATCAGTCAGTCCAGTCAGTTATGCATGGAAAATTTGTTCTGTGTAACTGTTTTCAAACAACAATAGTTTCTCATAATGATCATGTTGTGCGGAGTTTACTTATTCAGTAGAAATCGTCATTTGCAAATTTACTCAGTTTGAGGTGAGAAATCCTTGGAAACCTAAATTATTCAGATCTCTCTCTATATATGTGATCTGCTTGACACTATAAATGCATGATCCCATGTACTACTGATCGATGGGTAGGAGTAGTCAGATACCACTCTCACAGCAATCAGTAGTGCTTCCTATTCCACTCGTTGGTGGCCGAGCTTATCAGTTGTAATTTGGGTGGTCGGAACACTGATGTGACTCTCTGAGCTGGATTGAAACTGAGTACACCGCTGATTGGCTCAGAGCCACCCCCCCCCTCAAAGGAGTGGCCTTCCGATGTTTTTGTCACAGCTTCGATCAGGCTAGTGGGCATCCAGCTACTTCTACCAATCAGTAAATAATATATACCATCACGTGTGTGGGTGGTTCAGTGGTAGGAATGCTCGCCTACTACATACGTTCACTGAGTTCGACTCCTCGCTGACACTTACTCCTTAACCCCCCCCCCCCGGCTAATATACCAACCGATAGTAAGTGTTGGAAAAGTGGGAAGGTCGAGCAGGGGCATGAGGCTGACACCTTCATCTGTAAAAGCAACACTGAAACTTCAAAACACAAACTCGAAGCCTCAAATTCCACTCGGAATGCAAAAGGAACGACAAAAAGGTATACCAGACGCTTTTCCGCCTAACTATTTTCAATTTGAACAAAGCAAGAACAACAATTGTACCAGGATAATATGAGCTCATCTTTTATTATTTCGAAAAAGCCTATCTTTCTGCAGCTTGCATTCAAAGGTGATGATACTGCCAGTAGAATAAGATGCAGACTGAACGCTGCCCTGAAAAGAACATATCCAGCCGCCAAGCTTGTATGTGTTTATCAAACAACTAGTTGTTTGAGACAATCAAAAGTGGACAAATACCCACCTCATGTTACCTCCAACTGTGTCTACCAATTTACATGTACGTGCCAAAGCGCATACATCGGAAGAACAGAGAGAAGGGTTATTGTCCGCATTTCTGAACACATACCAAAGAACCTGAGACTGAAAGGTTCACAAGTATTAAACAGTGCAATTGCGCGTCATCTATTAGACACTGGTCATAATGTAGACAACTTGAAGTCATTCAAAATAATCAACAAGCAAAAGAAACCTAACTTGCTACGCTTTGCTGAAGCAATTGCTATCAGACGACTTAAACCAAATCTATGTACGCAGAAAGAGACAGTGGTGAATCTTGCACTGCCCTGGTGACAACAAAAAAATATACAACAGCTTGTTTTTGTTTCCAAGCCTAATTGCCTAATTATTCTATAAATATTTATAAACTGTCAAATATTGATCACAGTTCATTTGAATTATTCTATAAATAGTCAGTGTTTGTAACTCTTAATTAGTTAAATCATTCCGGACTAATGTTACTTTTACTTCCTACCAACCAATTACTCCTTGTGATCGTGGAAAATTATGTTCAAATCTTTAATGTAATGTAATTCATATTTTTCATCGTTCAGGTTGTAACCAGTTGAGAAGAATCCTCGCAATAAAATAAAAGATGAGCTCATATTATCCTGGTACAATTGTTGGTCTTGCTTTGTTCAAGTTTATTAATGGGAAGAATTGCAAGATTTTTTGCAATTTGTTTTGTCATAATTGTATAGTTTTTTTCTATAATTAACCAATATTATTGCCTTCTTTTGTTTTTGCTTTTTCTGTCTTCTTTGGTGATCCCCATCCATCCATCTCTCCGACTGTTCATCCGTCCATCAATAATCCACCGTGTCTCCAGTGTTTACAAGCTTTAGAATTTTTGCATAAAAATCAAGTCATTCATCGTGATATCAAATCGGATAATATTCTCTTAGGATTAGATGGTTCAGTGAAACTGACTGACTTCGGTTTTTGTGCTCAATTAAGTCCAGAACAGACAAAACGTTCTACAATGGTTGGTACACCGTATTGGATGGCCCCGGAGGTTGTAACACGGAAACAATACGGACCAAAAGTTGATATCTGGTCACTTGGTATTATGGCTATAGAAATGATTGATGGTGAACCGCCATATTTAAATGAAAATCCTGTTCGGGTAAGATTATTGTTATTATCATTATTTGTTCAAGTTAATTTGTATTTTCAAGTGTTGGTTTGTAGGGATTTGATTGGTTACAGGATTTCATCATGAGCTGACATCAGTTAGAGAACCATTGGAAAACCTGGGAGTACTGGACAGCTGTTTCGTCCTAGTTTGAGACTCTTCATCGGTACGCACCCACCGGGTTTCGAACCCACGACCTTCTGGTTACAAGGCGAGCTCGTATACCATTGAGCCACTGGGACCCGATCCAATGGTCCATGAATTCTAACTTCTGCCAATTCACGACATAGCGCGACCCCTAGCCAATGTCTTCGGCTAGTATTTGTCCTCACGCCCGACCTGCTGCACCCTACTGGTCACGACTTCTCACTAGAACCCCAGGTGACTACCCACCTGAATTTGTATTTCCCGATGATTGTTTGATTGATTGATTTCTATTTTGGATGGAAGTACTCAGTCTGTCTGTTGACAAACATGTTGTGGTGAGAGCTGGCTGCTAGCCAAAGTTGGTAGACAGTAATTGACGTCAATGTTTATGTCCCCAATATTGGTGGTGGGAAAATGAGAACAAAGGCTTTGCGTAGGCGGATACAGTTAGCATATGGATGATCTGACACAGCCACAAAAAGAGATGCAAGGTTAACTTTCTGTGAGAAACAACCAATCAAAAGACTGTATTTTTTGCTTAACTAATCTACAATAATGTACATGAAGATATACAAATATGCTTTGATTTCCTTAATAAACGATCTGTTGCCTGACCCTTGTCTTCTGTTGTTACAATGTCACTTCTGTGTACACCACCATCTTCGATGATGTCTAAAATTATCATGAATCCGTCATCTGGAGACTTTAAACTAGCTTCCATTGTTTCAAATGTCAGTGGGAATATCGTCATCACTCAGCTACTGTGGATCTAGATGTATCCAGCCAGATGACGAGTCCTGAACGGGACGAAATGTGCTACGAATGAGTGCCAGGAAAGACTAATGCTTTTGGCTACTTCCTGTCGATCTGCGTCTATATATATAGTACTGATGAATCTTTTCAGTAGCATACGCCACAGTGTATATGGCTGTATGGGCTTGCTTAGACTAAAATAGATAGAATAGGATGTGATCATGGCACATTGAAAGTCGAATGCTTAATTAAGCCCAATGTACTTACCTCACCTGTACAAGAGAAATTAACTTGTTTACAGTAAAGCATATCAGATTGATTTGTTTGTAGTAAATCCCACCAAATAGGTGAAATTCACAAGCATACCGTACATTTCTTTTACATTCCCTATGCTTTCCGAGTGAAACGTAGCGCCTTAAGTTTTGAAGTTTAAGTAGCTTCGTTGGTGTAGTTTTTTTTATACGGTAGATTTGGCAACTTACCTCAGCTCCTCAAGCTTCCCTTTTTTGTTTCCAGACTTACTATCTTCTAGTAACCCTAGGTGAGATTTAGGGGTGAGTCGTCTGGGAATCGAACCTCGGATCACGTGTGGGTGTGCGTGGCTGGTGAACGTTTAACCACCATTCCCGAATCCCTCGTTGATTGAATGCCGTTCCACTGGCTTCTTTGGTATTAGATGGTTGGAAGCAACTGGTAGGAAGCCTTGCTTGACCTAGGTTTCGTGCTAGTTGGCACTCACCAGTCTGTCAGCAAGGCGTATCTACAACCTCGAAGGAATTCATGTCCCTTCTGAGATTCGAACGTGACGTTACACTGAGCTATCCAGGCTCGCGATTGACCTCCTGTAGGACTGTACTGGATATATTTTTTTGATTGGACATTAGTTAGTAACTAGTGTAGGGAAGACCCAATTACATCCTGATGATGAGTCCTGAATAGGACGAAACACTCATTACGCGTAATCCACTAACCAGCCACATCATCAAACAACTGAGTAAAATTTATTGTTTCTATCTCATTTATTCTCTGTTTGTTTGTTTGTTTTTGTTTTCAAAATATTACAGGCTCTTTATTTAATTGGAACAAACGGGAAACCAGAAATTAAAGAACGCGAAAAATTAAGCGCAGAGTTTTTAGACTTTCTCGATCGTTGCCTTGAAGTCAATGTAGATTTACGTGCATCTGCATTTGAGCTACTTAAGGTATGCACCTATGTTCCTTTGTTATATTCTGTTTTGCATTCCATGTGTACTTTAATTTACAATTGTTGTTATTATTATTACATTTTTCATATACTACTTAGTGGCATTATAAGTAGTTTGATGTTAATTCAGTAAATATCCTTCTCGGTAAACACATCTGCTCTGAAAAAAATCAATTATTTGATTCTTATCTTATTTTCTTGTGTATGAACAATAAATACTTATTGATTGGGATGTAGATCATTTAACCTAACCACTTGACTCTTAGCCAATAGTCTCTGGGTTCGAATCTCGCCACCCACCTACTTCAACTTGAGCAACTGGGATAGTATCATAAGTCGTCACACGATAGATAGATAGATAGATAAGTGTGGGATTTACAGTCTGCTTGGCACATGAATAAAGCCTGTCCCGGGTAGTTGAATGAATCACTTATTACATTTGAAACGATAGGTATTGGATCCCAATTGCATTAGAAACCTCATCATCAAACTTCCTTAGAATGTGTATGTGTGTAGGTACATCCGATTGAGGGGGGGGGGAGGGACGGTGTACCAAATTGAATGGAACACTCAGTTCACAATAATTCGCTTATATGAGGGTTTATGACTTCCGTTAGAGAACTGTTGAAAACAAGGGAGTACTGAACAGTCGTTTCGTAGTAGTTTGGGACTCTTCAATAGTATGCACCCATGGAGATTCGATTCCAGGACCTTCAGGTTACAGGTGGGCTCATAGACCATTCAGCCATTGAAACCTGATCTAATGACCTATGAATTCCAACTTCTACCAATTCAGGAATATCGTAGCACAGCCGTCAGCCAATATCATCGGCGAGTAACTGTTCTCTTTCCTGACCTGATGATGAACCCCGCTGCTGGTTATGATGCGTCTCACTAGAACTCCAGGTAACTCTTCCTATATTTAGCTGGTTACTAGTGAGCATCAGATTATTCATCATGAGTAGATTTGCAGTACTCCTTGGTTTTCCAATGGTTCTCACCCCACCAGCGGTGGTGGTGGTGGTGGGGGTGGTCGACCAAGTCAGGTAAGAGAGTAGTAGTTACTCCTCGTCTATATGATATTATTTATGTATTTATTTATTTTATTCTATAATATTGATTTCTCATTTTATTTTGTTCTTTCTCTCTGTTGTATTCAGCATCCATTTATTGTTCGACGAGCTAAACCTCTGTCGTCATTAACTCCACTTATTTTGGTTGCAAGAGATCAAGCTAGAAATCAAACACAATAAAGAGAAATTGTATGTATGTATGCGTGCATGTGTGAGCGTGTGCGCGCGCGCGCGTGCGTGTGTATATACATATACAATACTAAAACACTTTCCAATTTATCCTCAGAATATTGTTGGCATGAATTATCCTATCCATGCGGTATGTTGTATCACACTGTTGTCTATTCGACTACTACTCAGAGGCAGAGGGGCATCACATCACAGCACAAATGCCAAACAAGACAGACGTACTACACACCAACCAACTGACTAACTAACATAACCTAATCTAACCAACCGACTTACTTACTTACTTTCAAAGTGTGACTGTGAATTAGACACGAGTCAGTATTATGTAATACGTACACAGCACACGCACACGCACACTCACACACCTCTACACACTGACCACACATACACATACAAATAGACGTTCATTGTCCTTTTTTTATATATATATATAAAGAATACTTGCTTTTATTTCATTTCTTTATTGTACATGTATATTCTAGACTGTAGACTGTACCAGAGAGATAGATAGATAGACAGACAAACACACACACACTCACACACTGTATTCTACTCTACTGTGTAATAGGCATACATATATACACATACATATATGGATCTGATTGAGATGTGTTCGGAGGCGAATACAGAATTGCTCATACCAAAAAAATACATATATATATAATATATCCTATACATGTGCTATTTTCTATACACACACACACACCTCTACGCATTACATTTTAATAAATACATACTATCATTATTCTATGATTCAGGAGACATTATACTACTACTACTACTACTTCCTATTATTGTTACGTAACCTCTGAAATTGATTTTGAGACTGTTTGTTCATTGTCCATTTATTGTTTTGTCTAACTGTGCCCTATTGATGATGATTGATCTTCTGATCCCTTGTCAACTGCCCTTACTGTCACATTTCTATGCTATTCTATTCTCTGACCTCATGTTCGAGTCCGGGAAAGAAGGGGGGTGCAAAGGTGTTTCTTCCACATACACTTGCCCACACACACATATAAACGGATGGATAGACATAGATATAGATGCACACGTGTACATGTACGCACCTACCCACACACATACACACGCACACAAAGACATATACAACAAACAGTAAGAAATATGCTTCCATAATAAACAATGACTTTTTTTCTGATTGGTTTGTTTGTTTTTTTGTTATAATTATTGAATAACAGAGAGATTTATTTCTATTGTGGTTTTTTTCGTTTTTTTTTTCCATGTATGTGGTTTATCCTTCTTTTACGGATTTGTCAAAAACTTATCTATTATTAATAGTGATAATAATAATGTGTGTATGTGTGTGCGTGCGTGCGTATGTGTAGTGCGTGGGCGTGTATGGTCTGTTTATTTGTAGATCTATTTATTTATAGACATATATTATACTCCTTTTGTGTGTGTGTGTGTGTGTTTGATATATATATGTGTCTGCAAGGAATAGAAGTACAGACACGCACATACATACACACACCCATGAATACACACGCACTTAGCTGGGCAGACAGACAAGCGAGTATAGACACACTTCAATTTGTTCTTCACCTGTTTTGTTTTTTTCTACAATGAACTTCTTATTCAATGAAGTATTGTCACAGGTCAGTACTACGTGAGGGTTGGGGTGGGAAACATATAGACAAAGGGGGAGGGGGGACAGAGAGAGAAAGGCCTTTATTGCTCTCTTTCCCTTTCTGACTGTCTGTCTGTTTGTGAAATACTTCTCAAAAGTTTATATACATCTTAAAAAAAACATGTTCTTTTCCGCTCATATTCTCATTATTCATTTATTCATTATATGACTTCATGTTCACGTCACTTGAGTTTTTCCGGAATGGGTTACTGATGTACCACTGATTGATTATTGATTTCTGCCTAGTAAGAATAACAATAATAATGACAATGATAATAATGATAAGTGGTGTTGTGTTTTGTCTTTTTTTTTGTCTTTCTTATTTCTAGAAAAAGACCATTTATGATAAAAGTCGTGTGTGTGTGTGTCAGTCCCTTTGTTTGTGTATTTGTTTAAATACACCAATTAATTTTTTTTCTCCCTCTCTCACTCTCTCATTTCCGCTCTAAATTTAAAAAAAGGTAATTAATTGATGATGATCTTTTGTTTTGTTTTTTTCTCTCCTTTTTATGAAGATATTACTTTAAATAATATATAAATATATACATGCATAAATGACTCTTTTCTTTCGACGTCTCCTGATGCATAGGCTGTAGCATATAACAATTTTTTTCCTTCACGTTTCCCAGTGGAACATAGGGCTTCAAGCTAAAGACTTGAAGTTTCTGTAGCAGTGTTTATTTTACAGGATGGGGTTGCTAGCCTCATTCCCAATCTTTCCTCTTCACCAGCATTGTTTCTGCCTTAGCGAGGTAAAGGAGTGCGTCGGTGGCCGGGGATCGAACCCCGGACCATGTGCATGGTAGGCGAGCGTCCTAACCACTGTGCCACCGACGCCCATCTAAAGATTAAGAAGTTGAAAATATAGATGGATCTGACATACACTGAGAAGACCATTGAATGACGTCATGTCCCAGACAGGCGCTCGGGTGGAATGTGAACGGGGAACCATGAGTTGGGCGTACGTAGGTCCGAGGGTGACATAGAGGAGATTGTGTGAGTAGGGATTGAGAGCCAGTTAAAGATTGGCTGTAGAGAACAAGATGAAATGCAGGTGTGCTGTTGAAGCAGTAATGTGTTTCACTCGGAACCTAAAGGGGGTAATAGTCTGGTGAGAGCTGTCTGCTAGCCAAAATTGGTAGACAGTAATGTAAGCGCAATATCGCTTGAAATTAAGTCACGCGTAGAACGAACAAGAAGCCGGTCACTTTCTACGGTACTATTAGTAAACAAACCAATAATTATATATACAACAAACCTTAACGGTTTCAAGAGTACAAAGCACAACGCTTAACAGAAAGCAAGGTACCGCTATCAGAGCGGAATAACGTTAAAGCCAAAATCACGAACTAGCCGGATCAGACACGACCGTTCAGGTAAGCAGTCAGTAGAAGAATGAACCCAAGTAAGAGGTAGACAGAGCATAGGCACAAAGATAGAATTTAATTGGCTACTTAACCAATCAATAAATAAGATAAACTCGACAGAATAGTACAAAGTAAGACATGGGTCAGCAACAATAACAGTTCACAAAAATACTCTGATTGGGTCATGAGTTCAACTGTCTGACTAAACGGATCGAAGTAAAACCACACACACATACACAGTTCATTAAACAAGGTGGGATAGACACGTTAGGCATGGATAATTGGGTTGCAACAACGCTAGACTGATCCTGGACAGGTTGACTTGATTCAAAGATGGGAATTGAATTGATCTTACAAGTAATTTACGCCCCAAATCTTATTATTATTATTGTTCCCTTGGGTTCCTAGTGGAACATAGGGCTTCAACTGCACGCCTCCACCTGCTTCTGTTTTGTGCTGTACTTTTCACTTGCATCCATGTTAATCCATAATGTTTCAGTTCGTCATCACTCGATCTCCTCCATGTCACCCTTGGACGTCCCACTCGCCGCTTCCCTTTCGGGTTCCACTCGAGCACTGGCCTGACGCGCGATGTCACCCAGCGGCCTCCTCAGCTCAGCGAGTGTCCAATCCATCTCCACTTTCTCCTCCATATTTGTTGGGCGACTGGTTCTTGTTTTGTTTGTTCCCATAGCTTCTTGTTTGTGATTCTTTCCGATCATCTGATCTTCACTACAGAGCGAAGACAGTTAGTTGTTGATAAAGGTCTGAAACAGGCTGTTGGAAATATTCTTTGTGACCCGACCAATTTCTGCTGATCCGTATAGAAGAACTGACTGACTTGACGTTTGTATTGAAAATCCGAATTTTGTTGTTGATGTAGACTGAGTGACGAAGATTTCCAGATTGGTTTCAGATTGATGAATGTGTTTCTCGCCTTCCCGATTATCGATTTGACATCCTCGCTGGTTCCTCCTGTAGTTGAGACAATGCTCCCTAGATAAGTGAATGAAGTAACCTCTTTCAAATCCCTCCTGTTGATGGTGATTGGCGCTGGATGTTGCTGCTGTTGTTGTTGTGGTTGGTTATTTTCATAACCTCCGTCTTGTCTATGTTCACCTGGAGTCCTGTCTTTGCTGACAGCCTCTTCGACCAGTTTGTCGGTTTTCGCTTGTAAGTCTTCGATTTTGTATGACAACAAACATAAATCATCTACGCGCGAAATCCAGGTCTTCTAGGTCCTTCACGTCGGTCCAGGATCTCCCTGTCTTCTCGTTTCCCACTCATTGTCTGACGCATAATCCAGTCCACCACAATTAGGAATATCATTGGTGATAATAAGCACCCTTGTCTGACTCCTGTGATTATTATAAACGCCTCTCTGAGTTCTCCGTTGTGGATGACTTGACATGTGCCGTTGTCGTACAGCTGTTGAATAAGGTTGATGAATACTTGGGGTATGTCGTAGTACTCGAGTAGTTTCCAAATTACTTCGCGGTCAACGCTGTCGAAGGCCTTCTCAAAGTCTATAAAGGAAGTTGAGGTAGAGGTTTGATTGCCATTCCATGCTTTGTTCGATGATGATGCGTAGAGTTGCAATTTGGTCAGAACATGATTTGCCTTTCCTGAATCCAGCTTGTTCTGGTCGGATTTCTGTATCCAGTGCGTCCTTTATTCTCTCCAGGATGATGCGACTCAGGATTTTACTTGGCGTTGACAGGAGCATGATTCCTCGCCAGTTCTTGCAGAGTCCCAGGTCGCCCTTCTTTGGTAGTTTCACGAGGTAACCTTTCCTGCAGTCAGTAGGCACCTATCCCTCCTTCCATAACTTTTGCAATAATGGAGTCAGCATATCTGCTGTCGTCTCTGGGTCCGCTTTCAGTGCTTCAGGGGGTATTCCATCTGGTCCAGCTGTTTTTCCAGCTTTCAGAAGCTTGATTGCATTCAAGACTTCAGCTTTCTTTGGAGGATTGGTGTCAACTTGCAGTTGTGTACGTGCTGTTGTTGGTATTACTGGACGGGTTGTAGGTGGTGGTCGGTTCAAGAGTCCTTTGAAGTGGTCCGCCCGTTGTTTAATCTGTCTTTCTTCCTTGGTAATTGGGTTCCCTTGGCTGTCTTTTATAGGTTTCACTTGTGTTGATCTCTTCCCGGATAGAGACTTGGTTATCTGATATAGTGTCCTCAGGTCCCTTTTGCCTGCTGCCTTCTCAGCTTCAGTAGCCAGGTTGTCGTAGAATTGTCTTTTGTCCTTCCTGGCACTCTTCTTCACTTCTTT